CTGAGGCTGGACGGTATTGAGGGACGAGAATCCCAGACCTACGAGACCGTTCGAGTAGGTATCTTCAACGAAGGAATCAGACACGCTGGTCGGGATACCAATCGCTTGACTGGTAACGGTCGCGCCACCAATGTCAACGGTATCAGTTCCGACGCCACCATTAGCGAAAGACGAATCTCCGTATTTGATCTCAAAAGTAGCTCCTTCCATCTTCTTAAAAGTGGATGAGTTGGAAGGATTGAAGACAGTGTGGCCGACCTGAGCACTCGCGGGAAGCTCCGTATTCATCACCCAGCTGGTAAAATCCCCAGTCAGTAAGCTCTGTTGGTGAAATGATTCGAATCAATGAACTTACAAGTCTGCTGAGCCGGTGTCAAAGTTCATCACTATTTTCTGCCCACCGATCGTCACAGGGCTGACAAAAGCAGCATCCTTCTGAACAGACTGCGCACTGACTGCGCCGGTCTGCTCTGGCTCTTCAGTATCGGCCACGAGTAGATTGGCAGCGGTGCCGGAGATAGAAGTCGTGTTCAAAGGCTCAAAGTCCGACAGATCGACGCCAAAAGTCGTTGGAACTATGCCAAATTTCCGATAGGCTCTGCGCAGAGCAGTCGGACCGTGAATGGAGTTTCCACGCTTGATCCGCTCAACCTTGAAGGACCTGCCCTGAGATTGAGCTCGTGGCGGCGTTGGTGCGGCGAACACACCATAGCCTAGGAGCAGCATGAAGAGAAAAGACTGTAGTGAATGCATATTGACTCGATATTGCCTGTATTTCCACTCTTCAAATCAAGGATCGTATTTGCTGCTTCTAGCAGCTGAAGGTGGAAAGCCTCCAAACAAGACAGAGATCAAGCCAAAAGTAAATTAAAGAGCGTGTATTCTGTATGCCCAAGTCCAGACCTGAGCACCTGCGAATATTGTAAAGAAGAGATACAAAAAAATGAATGGGAAAGGGAAACAGCCAAAAGAGCTGCCAGGCAGAAGAGAAAGACAAAGAAGTGAATGACTTGGTCTAGTTCAATGTCAAGAGGGCCCCAGGGAAAAGCCCATGATAATAAAGACCTCAGAGGCCCTAATCACGACAGAGCATCAAAAGTTGAACTGAGCTTCAAACCCCAGCTAAAGAACAGCCGAGAGCGCAACTACCTCCCATGTTGGTAAGCTGGCCCACTCAGGCGAAGAAACCAGAGAAAGCGCAGGTTGAACTGAGACAGCAGCCAATCCATGCTGTTCATATGGAGTCAGTGGTGAAGCAACCTCATCTGTCTGACACAGTCAACACGACTCGACAGCCTGGATATGACAGTTGCTGGCGCAAATCATGAGCCATTCAGTGTTGCCGAAACAGACTTCCCCTGATGGTGAAACGCCCAGGCGCTGGGCAGTCGCAGATTGTGCTGACCAGTCAAACCAGTCACCCACCGTCGCCAAGAGACGGTGAAACGGTAGACTGAGTTGAAGTAGGCGGTCAAAATACATATGTACTCGTAAGGGGGCTGTGAAGAACTGAAGGTTGATGGACCATCATTAGAGAAAGATCTGTGTTACATTCAAGGACTGCGACTGTGAAGCGCAATCGGCTGGGGAGCTGTTGCGTAGATAAGCGCTGTTCCGTGGTCGGTTTCCAATCACACGGCATCATCAACGAAACGCACACTGCAGAGATCCCTTACACGCGTCATAAGTCGAGTCCAACTGACGAATGTGCCATACATCTGTAGAGTGAGTTGGTGCCTACAATCGAAGGTGCCGCTTGTCAGGTTACATGGTGCGGATCCTCGACAGCAGGGGTAGAACGACATGAGTACACACTACACACTTTATACTGATGCTGATGTCCGGTACTTTCTCGATTGGTAAGAGTAATAAGCGTCCTGATCATGCGAATGCCTCATATTGAAATGGTGGTATCAAATCATGCTTTCCCAAAACGCCGCAGTAAAAGAAACTCACAATGCACGCTATCCCAGCTTAAATGCACCGCACAGTAGAAGCAAAGTAGGAAGACGGAAATATGAATCACTGCATCATATCGTCAGGTGGGAGCACTTTGTTTGGATCCTCGCCAAGCATTTCGCTAACCGACCGTACAACCTGCTTGATGGCTCTTGACGCTGGGCTGTCCGGGAAATTGTCCACGAAGCTTTCGCCGTAATCGCAAGCCATTCCAACTCTGGGGTCAAGAGGAACTGAACCCAGGAATGGAATGCCCATCTTCTTCGCCAGTCGTTTGCCACCTCCTGTCGTAGCACGGAAGATTTCCGATGTATTGGAGCATCCTGGGCAGACGAAGCCCCGCATGTTCTCGACTAGACCCAGGATACGAATGCCAGCCTTGCGGCAAAAATCAATCTCCTTCCTGACGTCGAGAAGCGATACTTCTTGAGGGGTCGTGACAACCACCGCTCCGTCCACGCCAGACTCTTTCAGAAGTGAGTTCACTGATAAGTGCTCGTCCGAAGTTCCAGGTGGTGTATCGACAATCAGGTAGTCCAACTCGCCCCAGTCGACATCCTTCAGAAACTGTTTAATCATTCCATTCTTCTTTGGGCCCCTCCAGATGATCGCGTCGTCTCGGTTCGGCAGCATGAACTGAATACTCATTGCACTCAGATTATCGGTCACCCACACCGGACTCCAGCCCGCGTTGCTGACGTGGATTGTCTCCGACTCAACGCCCATCATCTTCGGGATCGAGGGTCCGCAAATATCTGTATCACAGAGGCCGACGGTGGATTCAGGGTTTGACGCAAATGCATGCGCAAGGAGTGAGGAGAATGTGGATTTTCCGACACCGCCTTTGCCGGAGAGTACAAGGATCTTGTGTCGGATTTGAGAGAGACGTTCGGTGATGATGGGGATGTCGGGATCGGGCCCCTTGGGGGCAGAGGCACAAATGGCTTGATTGGGACAGCCAGCGCAGGCATCGCCTTTTCCTGCTTGCTCTGACTCGGGTCCAGGGCAATGCTCTGCAAAAATTAGCGATCTTCAAAGGGAAAAGAAATATGAATTTTTGCCGGTTAGAAAGACATACCTGGTTCCGGAGCAACGAGGTTCGGTGCCACCTTGGATGGCACATCGAACGCTGCCAGTGGCTCCATCACGGACGGCGCCATTATTATGCGAAGACCAGCTCCTTGTAAGAGATATGGCGATATATTCTCCTAGATTCTCAAGACCGGTAGGTGTGTCGAACTGGTTTGGACAGAAGGAAGCTTTTTCTTTGATGAAAAAGTGGCGGATCGCTGCTTGATAATCCATTATCGGATGACAAAGGCTTGGTGGCGATTGGCGCGGGGTGGTTTTCTCAGGAACCAGCCACTGCGGTCTCGGAGCGCCCCGCGATAAGATTGATTATCATAAGGTAGATCGGTGTCTGGATGGACTATCATGGTGATTATCATTGGTATTACTATGCTGATGAGCAGCGAGTGGCTTATACATTAACTCCTAACACGAGGATCAAGATCTATCCATATGTCTCGCGATAGTCATTTGAGTCTCCCCTAATGGACTAGAGCCAGAGAGAAACAGATATACATTCTCCGATGTATGGTCGAATTTCGCGTACTATCAATGTATGTTTCATAAAGTCGATTTGTTCGTGTCTACGGAGTGTGCAGCAGGATGCTTGCAAGTTGGATCTTTCCATCTTTTCGGAAGCGGGGTATGACTTGTAACGATCCTCTTCTTTTTAACAAGGAGAATAGATATCGATAATGCAGAGGCTTGTCAGAACCTTAGCATGCCTCCCTGGCTGTACTACTGTCAAGTGAGCCTACCATGTCATTATCCACCAACTGGACTGCCAAAAGACTGATCCATTTTAGTTAGAGGCGCGATTTGCAAGAAACATCCTCAGCAAATGTCCGCAGGTCGTCATTGACTAGAGACACTGCAGATCTCTACAGGACTTAGTTCTCTTACGAAACCTACGACTATCAGCATAACAGTGACAATTCCCTTCTTTCTGCAGGCCGTGTCTGTGTGTTGCATGAGGCTTAATGCCAATCACGTCCCCTCAATGGCATGCATGTCATGCAGTGCATATGCTTCCCTTCCAACGTCGAAAGAATCGTTGAAATTACTGATTGGTGTTAATCTAGACTACCTGAGACTTGCCTGCTTCAATTCCTGATTTTGCAGGATTGACAGGGGAAGCATTGTCCAGTGAAATTTAGTATTTGATGCACCCGCCGTTACCGCTCGATTGTGATGGCTTTTCCATCAAGAGTTATATGCCTTCAATGAGCAGAAGCAAGCGAATAGTCGACGGAGTACGAGTAGTAAGGTAAGGAAATTGTCGTCGCTCAGACGGATCGGTATCCAAGGAATAACCCACGAGCCTGAAGATTATTTTAGAATATCTTGAACCGTGCACTCTGTATGTCGCATCTGATATCATTCGCTTGACTTGGCGTCGTCAACACCGAGGCTACTAGGATGTACTATTATTACGAAATAAATTGTTCGAATTCCTTAAGAGCGTTGACCTTCGTTCTCTTTCTGCTCCATTCTTCATTCCCTTTAAGAGATTGTATCAACGCCTTGTGATTGGCCCTTTTCCCACTCAATGGGTCTGGGTCGCTAAGTAGCCCTTTTCCCCAGCGAGCTCTACTTACCTAGTCTCTTCCTTCGACGTATGAGGTTACTCTCTCCCCCCGCTATACCCCGTAAGGGTAACGATAAATACCTAGCAGGGTAGCTCCGCCGCTCTGCCACTAACACAATCATTTTCTATCTCTTTTCTTGTATATTTTGTCTCTCTTTCCTCCATCTGTTCAATGATCCATTGAGCATTGTTGTTGAGGTGCGAAATCTGTCCAATTTGGAGACACTAACAAAGACGTCACATGGGCTGTGGCCGACCTAGACTAACCACCCTTGCTTTCCTGTCACATGCTTCTTCTGCACCCGTGACTTTCCGATCCATCTGTCCCCAATAACAATTTTCCGCTCCCGCTTCCCACGCAGGAATCAGAGAGCTATACACAATTATGGATCGTGGCCTTTCAACAGGCACTCATCAGGCAGATGGTGGACTTCGCGAGAGGACTGTGGCCTCTCAGTCCAGCTCGGCCCCCAGTCTCGAGGCTTTAACAGCCACGGGTGAAGGTGAGGTCAAGGACAAAGCCGGTAAAGGAAAGAAGACATACGGCCGGACTCCTGATGGTAAAGGTACGTGAGAGTCTCGTCTGAAAATTAAGAATAGATGACACGTCTTTTCGGCTCTCAAAAGACTCTTGGGGTGATACGGGTTGCTGTCCGCTAACTGACCTATTCAATAGTGTTTACGGTGCCTCAAACGCACGACATGGTCTCTCAACTACTATCACCCTCGGAACCAAAGAACCTGTCAGACGTCATCGTTCTAGCCATTCTCGCTGCTCATATTCTTCTCTTGTGGCGACTTCCCGCGGGTGCCAAAGTGCCCGTTTTTGCCATCATCTATCTCTTTTGGCGCGGTGCCTACAATGCTGGGATCGGATGGCTGCTTCATAACCAGTCGAACCACAGAACGCTCGTCCGTTGGGCGGAGAAGACCAAGATCTTCGTGAATCCGGCCACTGGCCAAAATCCTCATGCTAACTTATACAAGTTGATTAAACGTGAATTGGAGACCAAGATCCCAGCTGACTATTCGTTCGAAGATGCTCCAATTGAGTACAACACCTGGCTCGTCTTCAGACGACTTGTCGATCTGATCTTGATGTGCGATTTCACCTCATATTGCCTCTTTGCGATAGCCTGTAGCCAACGCCCCCTTGATGAGGGTACTCTGATGACTGTCTTGCGGTGGTCCGCAGGCATCGTCTTAGTGCTCTTCAACCTGTGGGTAAAATTAGACGCGCATCGAGTGGTAAAAGACTACGCCTGGTACTGGGGAGACTTTTTCTTTCTCATCGACCAGGAGTTGACTTTTGACGGTGTCTTCGAAATGGCGCCTCATCCGATGTACTCGGTCGGTTATGCTGGATACTACGGTATCTCGCTAATGGCGGCGAGCTACAAGGTCCTGTTCATCTCTATTCTCGCCCATGCAGCACAATTCGCTTTCCTGGTCTTCGTCGAGAATCCGCACATCGAGAAGACATATAACCCGCCACCACCCCGAAAGCGAACTATCGACCAGGAAAATGTATCTATGACCCCTCAGAGATCGGATTCGCCCATCGCGCCTGCTTCCGTTGATGAACAAGTGCCCCATGCGCCAAGTTATTCAAGCGGTCCACCTCCGTCGGTTCACAACCTCTTGGGCTTTCGGAACCTGGATTTGTATCGGACGATAGATACGGCTTCCATACTGATTCAATTTCTCGTATTCGCCCTCACGGTCTTGACGCCTTCAACTCCTTGGTTCCAATTCCTTTTTGTGGCCAACGCGGCAGTCTGGAGAATCTGGTATTCTGTTGGTATCGGCTTGGTGCTCAACCGTCAGTCGAACTGTAAGGCCTGGACTCGACACTTTGTAAAATATGGCGAAAGCCCTCAGGAGGCCTGGAATCAGTGGAAAGGCACTTATCATATCAGCATGGTCATGTGCTACGCGAGCTTCATTGCCGCCGTCTGGAAAATGTACAGTTTCCCAGCGGATTGGGGCTATGGCCTCGTCTTGCTCAGACACGTCATGGGTGCAGGGCTCATTGCCTTGCAAATCTGGACGTCGGTCAGCATCTACGAATCTCTTGGAGAGTTTGGCTGGTTTTACGGAGATTTCTTCTTCGATGAATCGCCGAAGTTGACGTATGACGGCATTTACCGTTTCCTGAACAACCCTGAGCGTGTTCTGGGTTTGGCAGGTGTTTGGGGTGCTGTCCTTATCACCAGCAGTGGAGCTGTCACTTTTCTTGCCCTGATGAGCCATATTTTGAGCCTAGGGTTCATCCAATTTGTCGAGCGTCCTCACATGCAGAAGCTTTATGGCCGAAGCCTGCGACGGGATGCTGGTCTGACAAAGAGTTTGAAACGATCCTTGCCTCCATCTCTACAGCAGCTCCATGGAAGTGTTGACAAGATGTTTGATGAGTCTTTCGAATTCATCGAAGAACTCATTGACACTGCTCGTCCAAAGCTCGCTGCGGGTGTCAACACGTTTGTCAAAGACACATCGGCTCTGTTCCAAAAGTATCCCGCTCGTGTGACTATCTCTCGCATCGATGAAGACCTGGCCGGCTATGACTTACGTGACTACTCCTTGGAGGTCGAAGGCACTGATTCATTGTCTCCCAATGACAACGATCAAAGCGGTAGGGAGGGTGCCAATGCTCGTATGCCCCTTGACAGACGCGGTGACCTGAAGAACTTGGTCTTCGAGTATGGTTCACCCATCAAGGTTAAGTGGACTGCTCCGCTCAATCACAGCAAGAAAGATTGGATTGGTCTATATCGAGTCACCGACAACACTTCTCGGGAAGTCACGCGCGTCTCATCTCAAGGGAGATGGATTGCGGTCAACGAGGGCTCGTATGACAATTTGACTTGCGAGAAGGGAATTTTGAGCAGCGATATTGTTATACCCGCCTCACAACGCAAGGACAACGAAAACCGCGATCTTGCTTCCGGCGAAGTTGTCTTCTCTGGTGATAAGCTGTTCTGGACTCAGGGTGTCTTCGAGTTCCGGTACCATCACAATGGCAAACACAATGTTATGGCTATTTCAAGACCATTCGAGATTCGTATCAGCCGGTTTGATGAGGATGAGATCCCACTGATGGACCCTACATCAGTCGAGATAAGCTTGTTTCCCGTTGTGCGTAACTGCTTTGATCGAGATCCCGAAATCGCGCCGGAAACCGTGGATGAGCCTTTTGGCAGTCTCGTTGAACGCGATGGAAAGTATGCCAAGAGAGTCGTGTTCGCGGTTCATCAAATGTGAGTCGATTTTCCTGCGTAGGTTTTGGAGGAGGTCGTACTAATACTCTCGCGAAGGTTTGGTATCGAATTCGCTCCTGAGGTTGTCAAAGCCGACGGCAATGTCCACAGCCTCGCCCGGAGGATATGCAATGCAAAAAGGGTCCTGGTATGTAGCCATCTGCCTCCCTCATGCCTCATCACCTAATTTCCCGCCGCTGAAGCTGACTCTGAATATCACATCCTGTAGGCTCCCTATAGTCTAACCAAGAATGGTGCAACGACACCAACTGAAGGGAAAGAGTAACCTGAAAATGAGAACCTATGTGGAACCTAGAGAAAACTCGAAAAGGGAAAAGTGGAGACATGGCATGTCTCCCAGCTTGACAATACGCAAACCATTTCCTGTTCACCTTAGCAGCTTATGTTTGGATGAGCGATGGAAGCGCTAATAGACAGGCCCCATTGCCAATGTCACACCTTTTGATTCTGCTGACATACTTCATCGTGCTGGTATTCTGTCTCATCATGCGCGCCAAAGACGAACCATGAAGAAGATAGAAAAGGGAAAAGATTAAACAGACGATGATCGGAGTATGTTGACGATGCAAGGCATACATTACTTCGACTGGTTGAGACAGCAGAAGCTCAAGGCGTTTATAGTTTCATAATACATATTCAGTGGCATTATTTATATATACCATAGACAATGAAGAATTCGTGCTTAACGGTGTTGATTGATGAAATTTTCCTGCATTGGATATGTTTCGATCTAATAGGCATCTATCTCTATTCTAACTACCGAGTATAATTTGACGAAAAGCCTACAAATTCAGAGCGGTCAGCAGGCATCTTAATCGCCGACATGGAGTTCGACTGCACAGCAGCAGGACGGAACACCTCAAGTAAAGGCAAACTCATAGAGAGTTCGCAGCAAAGTGTTGATCAGCCAAGCCGGTAAATTCATCCCCTCCCCTGCCAAGTTCTTCCCCCCGACAGATCATCCAAAACGAACGATGAGTCGGGTGAAAGGCGTTGACACAAGTCAAGCGTAGCAAGCACACCGGCAGGTCTCAGCACGGAGCATAACGATTGAGCCCGCTGTCCAGTGCTCCACAACCAATCATCCCTTCAGTCCAGCGGATTTCAGAAGAAATACAGCGAAGAGAAAGTCCGGTATAAGGGAGTTGGACAGGCGGATCGCAGTGTTCCAAGTGTGCTGTGCTGCCGGCAGCTGCGGGCTCGAGGGGCGGTTCTCCAAGGGAGATCATTGAATGGATTGACTTGTTGTCATCATAAAGGATTGTGCTTGGAAGTGGTATAAGATTAGGGGAGAAGTAACTGTACCTATTACTAGTAATGCCAGCGAGTTGTGCTTGGGTTAAGCAGTTGTACAATTTCTAATTCTTCGAGGTCGTCAGCAATCCGAATGATCAAGCACCTCAGTGGATTGAATGGACAAATAGAATCTTTCAAAATGATCAGGAGATTTTGGTAAGGTATTTTGTTTTCTTCAAGGTTTTTGCAGAAGCAGAACTGAAAAAAATGTCTCTCATCACGGAAAGGATATGGGTGGTCGAGGAAATGTGCAAAAACATACCTAACAGAGCCTACAGTATGCGAGATTTTTGAGAAAACACAAGTGAGATTTTCCTGTCTGATGAATTGGTCAGTAAGGCTGCATGGGGCACAACGAGCTGACAGCAATTGTAGATTGGAAGTTTGATCAGATGGTGATGCATGTTTGTTCAAGCCCATTTATTTGTCGCCGGAACTTAAGATTTTTGGAAATCAATTTCGTCATGGAAGGGTGTAAAGTGATGGTGACATGGGAGTAGACAAACTTACAGTAAGTATCAATCAGGGTGTTTGCGAGCAGATGGCAGTTTAGAAGTTGATGCACTTTTGCCACAACAGGCCTCATCATCAGAGGTCTAGTTGGTTGGCATTTAAGCAAAGAAGAGATGAAGGAGAGGAAGAGGAGGAAAACAGAGAAAAAATAGTCGTGGGAAAAAAAGTGTGATCCAGCAGGGGACGAAGACAAACAGTGCAAACATCTTCTGAAATCGCAGATTTCCGTTTCTGGACTGGGAAAGTAGCTGGAAGGCTGCTTGTCGGGATTTCTGTTAAAGGAGCATTGGCAATTCCTTCTTTTATCAATCGTTATTGCCTTTTTTCTTTCGATTCGAAGCTTCTTCTCGTTCCCAGCAGACCTGCTATGACTGACCGACGAAGAATCAATGGGCCGCCCAGTGGCACAAAGCCTGCGGTCTTTGCCTCGTCGCTCAAATCTACGACTGATACTGCATCTGGCCGGCCACAACGGCAAAGGCAGCCAAATGAACTGCGCAAAATATGTGAGATATCAGTTCCATACATCACCCGCGCAAGAGCTAACATGTCTGCGTATTAGTCCTCAAGACTGGCTTGATCCCTTCCGCATCTGGCTCCTCATACCTCGAATTCGAACCCTCAGCCTCTCTCGCCGCTGCACGCTCTTCTCCTCAATCTCTCATTCCTCCTTCCTCAGCTCTGAAGCTTGCATGCACTGTTCACGGACCGAAACCGCTTCCCCGCTCTGCTACATTCTCTCCCAACCTTGTTCTCACCACTCATGTCAAATATGCGCCGTTCGCTGCGCGCAGGAGGAAAGGGCACATCCGAGACACTAGCGAACGGGACCTGGGTGTGCATTTAGAGACCGCGCTGCGGGGTGTTATTGTTGCTGAACGGTGGCCGAAAAGTGGATTGGATATCACGATTACGATCTTAGAGGCAGAAGATGATCGGTGGTGGGGGAACGCGCCAGACTCTCATGACGCTCCGTGGGGGATGATGAATGTTCTGGCTGGATGCATCACGGCTGCCTCTGCGGCTGTTGCGGATGCGCGGATAGACTGTTTGGATCTAGTGGCTGGCGGCGTAGCTGCTCTTGTTTCCGACGAGTCAGCGGAGGGAGAAAAGTCAACGCCGAAGCTTATGCTGGATACAGACCCTGCTGAACATCGGTCTATCCTGTCAGCATGTGTCGTCGCATATATGCCTTCTCGGGACGAGATTACAGAAATATGGCTCAAGGGGGATAGTTGGAGGGTACTATTAGGGCCCGATGACAAGCGCTCGGGGCATGACGCTTTAATAGATGGGGCGGTGGACGCTGCTCGGGGAGCGCATACGGTTTTGGCAGAGGCAGTGAGGGAATCTGCTGAGCGGTTTGCCGGCCTTGCTACGGTTTGAGGTCTCGTGTAATTAACGAAGAAATAATACCAACTTCTTGTAGGATCCTTTTCAATCGTCATATTACGATTAGATGTGATAGAGCATCAGTCATTTCTCCCTCGGTAGTATCCTCAAAATTCTGTGGAATCATAGATTGAGTAGGCTCTCACTGTGTGTACAACCGGTGAATCAAACACCGTGTTAGGCGGTTTAGGACCAAACCACTAGAGCAGACGTTCTGCCTGCCTGTGAGGTGAGCTCGACTCATTTCGAATCAACACCAACCTCTCGTCAGACCACTCTCTCCCTCACCAACTTTCAATCATCCTCACTTTGACCTCCAAATTGATCAAAGCGTCCTCGTTACATCTTCCTCTCCCATCACGTCCGACTCAAAACGTCGCGATGCCCAAGTCAACTGTTGACGAGCAACACATCTTCATGTATCACCTCCTTAACGGAGTGAACGACAAGACCGTAAGTTCTCTTGAGCATAATGAAACGAGCATAGACGAGTAGCAACCGAGGAACAGCTTGATGTCAATCGCTTTATTGTTCATGATGCTTTCCTCAAGACGACCAGCACATAGCTGACCATACTCGCTTCCCATAGATCAATTGGGACCCCGTGTGCAAGGCCACCAACCTGAACAAGAAGGCCGCTAGCATGAGATGGTTCCGTCTCAAGGGAAAGATCGAAGACGCTCTGAAGGAAAACGAGACTGAAAGCGCTGACGACGACACCGCGAAGTCTGGCAACGGCAACGCCGAAGTCAAGACTGAAGCCGAAAAAGCGCCTGGCAAGTCTATGCCCAAGATGGGTGTTTTCAAGCCCCGTCGTTCCAAGAACGTCAACACCGCCGAATCTGAGATCGCTCCCCCTGTTAAGAAGAGACGCACCACCAAGCGCAAGAGAGACGATCAGACCGACCACGAAGACGCCAAAAAGGGTGCTTCCAAGGCGACTGCCGAGGAGTAGCTGGGTTCCATCGTTGGACAATCATTCTTTCTCCACAAGCTCTTGTGACCATGGCACATTTGGGATGAGCATATTTCTTTGCGGTAGCGATGAAAGGAGTTAGTTTGGTTCAACAGCATTGAGCATCTTTTGGTGCATAGCCTGGTTGGTTGGATTTGTGTCTGTTACTGGCAGTTACATGAACACAGGAAGAGGTTTGTTGAACCTGGAGGATAGTAGATAGCTACTCTAGGTTAATTTAAACTACAAGTTAAGGGCTTCATGAAGCACGTGAGGCTGCATGACTGCAGAATGTAGGCGGTGAGAACCTATTGACGTGCCTGAATGCCAAGGCATATGATAGGCCTTATCCATACCTTGCTCCCTGCCATAATACACTAATACCGAACTTCAGAGTATAAAAGACTCCTGTCGTCTCTCTATGCACTTCTTTGTCCGCAATATCAGCATTATCATGTGGCGGTGTTTCGCTTTATCGCGGACACACGAAGTGTTTACTCCGTACTCTGTAGATAGTCCACACCTGTGATAGCCCGCCCATCTGCCAGGGAGGATTGTACTGTAATCACAAAAGTACTGCCGGGTATAGAAACATACGGACAAGGTTTAGCCGGTACTTCGTATTGGTGATGGGCTTGAAGACTAATTTCCTTAAGATTGGGATCGTTGGCCCAGATTCCCGATATTGCTAGCTCGTGAGTTGGTGTAGTTCGCAAATAGAACTATGTCAACCTAACCAGAGAGTTCTAGTCCAGTCGAAAAACACGGCGAGACTCTTTTCGCTTTCGACTCATCCTTGCCATATCGACGATCGCTGGGGTCAGAGACAATAATGGAAAGAAAATAAAATCATGATCCTGCCGGCTCCACTGTGGCTCTAATGTTTGCGTGTTTCCCACTGCGTCTCTCTGCTGAAAGTACTGGGAACTCAGGGGAAGACATGGCGTTTTGGTAGGATACTTCGAGTCCATCTCATCATTCTCATGGTCCCACTGTTCCCGTGACAGCGGCATGAACGACAGGTAATTATCAATGACAGGCTGACAGCACAGAGATGGTCGATATATTAATATACCGACCGGAACGGGCTCGTGACTCTCCGTGGACGT